CTGGTAATACAGTATATATAGAACTGTTCTGTTATTATATTATAGTTTGACACATTGAGAGATTGTGATGTATCTCCTGGTAATACAGTATATATAGAACTGTTCTGTTATTATATTATAGTTTGACACATTGCGAGATTGTGATGTATCTCCTTGTAATACAGTATATATAGAACTGTTCTGTTATTATATTATAGTTTGACACATTGAGAGATTGTGATGTATCTCCTGGTAATACAGTATATATAGAACTGTTCTGTTATTATATTATAGTTTGACACATTGAGAGATTGTGATGTATCTCCTGGTAATACAGTATATATAGAACTGTTCTGTTATTATATTATAGTTTGACACATTGAGAGATTGTGATGTATCTCCTGGTAATACAGTATATATAGAACTGTTCTGTTATTATATTATAGTTTGACACATTGAGAGATTGTGATGTATCTCCTGGTAATACAGTATATATAGAACTGTTCTGTTATTATATTATAGTTTGACACATTGAGAGATTGTGATGTATCTCCTGGTAATACAGTATATATAGAACTGTTCTGTTATTATATTATAGTTTGACACATTGAGAGATTGTGATGTATCTCCTGGTAATACAGTATATATAGAACTGTTCTGTTATTATATTATAGTTTGACACATTGCGAGATTGTGATGTATCGCCTGGTAATACAGTATATATAGAACTGTTCTGTTATTATATTATAGTTTGACACATTGAGAGATTGTGATGTATCTCCTGGTAATACAGTATATATAGAACTGTTCTGTTATTATATTATAGTTTGACACATTGAGAGATTGTGATGTATCTCCTGGTAATACAGTATATATAGAACTGTTCTGTTATTATATTATAGTTTGACACATTGAGAGATTGTGATGTATCTCCTGGTAATACAGTATATATAGAACTGTTCTGTTATTATATTATAGTTTGACACATTGAGAGATTGTGATGTATCTCCTGGTAATACAGTATATATAGAACTGTTCTGTTATTATATTATAGTTTGACACATTGAGAGATTGTGATGTATCTCCTGGTAGTACAGTATATATAGAACTGTTCTGTACAGATTGTGAAGAGTCAGACGTCAATTTATGGTACCGAATTAGAATGAGTAATAAAACTGGTACGTCAGCTTTTAAATTTTGTATTTACCAAAATGGAGTTATACCCCTTTACAAGATTGTATTTTCTTTTCTAAGCCTATTTTGAAACAGAAGAGTAGGATATAAACCTTTATTTCATTTCATTAGTTTAATAAGATACAGAACAGTGGGATGTAAAACCCCATTTCATTTCATTAGTTTAATAAGGTACAGAACAGTAGGATATAAAACCCCATTTCATTTCGTTTCAGATCGAGATATAGAGAATTGGTGTTCCGATGTGATTCAGGAATATCCACGAGATTTAAAGTCAGTGACCCTCCCTGATCATTTCAGCTACCCTCCTTCTGCTAATGATGATAAAAACCACAGTGCTGTGTTACAATGTAGTCTTCTGACTTTGGTCTTCACATATTCCGCTGTTTTTTTCTTAAATTTTGTATAACCATTGTCATGATTTGAAATGAAAATATGTTTTTTGCATTTTGGGACAGAAATTTGTGATTTTTAAAAGTTCAATACTGCACTTAAAAACAAAATCATTCCTTTTACATTTACATCCCATTTGGATAATTATTATTATACTATTTACAACAGAACTTTTGTTTCATTCCAAACAATTTATGATTTTGATTTATCTTTTTTATGATATAGTAGATCCAGTTTCAATGGCAATTCTGAATGTGAATTTCAAAACTTAAACAAATTCTTAACATAAAAAAAGGAACGGAGCCATGTTTTTTTTATTTATCTGATATTTTTGTATATAGGTAGTGTAAAATGTAGGTTTGACTAATTTGTAATTTTTTTTTTCCTATGGAGGCTGGCCCTCAGCTGATTTAAAATCATTTTCTTATGTTAATAAATTTTGTTATTTCTGTTGTTTGTAAGGGCCTTATTCTTAAAGCTTAACTTGAGATGGTTTTACTGTTCCAGCCTGATTGGTCAATGACTATGATCGGTTAAAAATTTAGTTTTATTATCCAATCAGATGGTTTTATTTTTTAGATTTGAATTTTTACTTAGTTAAATTTTCGAGAATAAGGCCACATTACTTACTTACTTTATTTACTTAATAAACATTACTAATTCCACAATATATCATTTTATAAATATCTTTCACCATGTCTGTATTTTATAACTTGACCATATTTTTATAATAAACTGGTAATATATTTTTGTATCACTTGTTCATGATTACCCCCACAACACACCTGCTTGCCCAATCTTCTCTTTGCTCTCATCCTTTGTCTTCTTCTCATCCCCTTCATCCGAATCCTTCTCGTTGCGTTTGTCACCTTGCGGCTAAGAAGTAGTCCAAATTTCTTCTTCAAAATGATTCTGTAGAGCAATCTTTCGCCGTGTGGGTGTATGTTCTCATTGGAAACTGCTAATTATGTTCAGATTAAAGCTAGGTTCCCACCAGATAAAGTTTTAAAGATGAGAAATTGACCGAACAGAAATTAGGATTATAATCATGACCATGTCATTTCTATTTTTAACTTTAAAATATCATTTCTGTATGAGAGTGACACTAGACGGTTTTTAATTTGTCATTTCGGTGACTTTTATCTTGTTATGGTCATGTTGTTTTTTAACATGTTAAGGGTCGGACAAGGTAAAGATTTTCTCCATATGAACAAAATTGACAAAAGCGGCTTATTTGTCAGTCATATCAAAATTGTACTGATGTTAATAATTGCTATTTTGTTAGGGGAAAAGTAAATTTTATCTGCGTTTGACATCGATATTATTAATGTATTTTCGGTCTTTTTAAGCCGATCATTAGACATACATGTTTGTCAATTAGAGTGATCATTTCTATTAAAATCTATTAGAGATTTTAAACCTGAATGATTTCAGTTCGTTTCATTCATGAAATAAAACAAATTAGACTTGAGATATTCTCAATTCAGTGCGTGCACGGACTTGACATGTATAGCACACGACGTATTATCGTTGGTGTCGGAACGCGCATGTGTACTACTAATACGAACTCGTATAGATTTACAGTTCATTTTATCTGTGTTGCGTTACGTTTCACATGGTTGTGTCAGTTCAGCGACTATTTGGGTCGTAAGATACAGTTAAGGCATGTTGTCAAATAGAGACCAACAGTAATCGGTAAGATTTTCTTTAATAATTAGGCTTTGCCGGACTTGTATGGCTGAGCGGCGAATGGTCCTAAGATCGGGCAACATTTTTGAGAATATGGTGCGCCTTTAAATATTTGGAAGATGGGTATGTACATCCATATGCATTTAGCTTGCTTACAGAATTTAATAGAGTTTTACGCCCCAGAAATTGTGTCCTTGCCACTCCCGATTATACCATAAGAGTACAGGCGCACTGATTGAAACTATTTTCAAAATACATAATATTTTATTGCAATAACTAAAAGCTATTAAATTTGTTTTCTACAAACATTTTTACTCATTTGAAATTATTTAATATTTAAGTAAATGTGTATTTTTATACTAAATAGAAAATTCCGAACATGCATTAAATGTCAACAGATATTAAGAAATCGTCTGTTCTTAAAAGTCAGGTGTGTGGTCAACACTTGAAGAATCATATTTTGGGGACACTAAACAGTTAGATCGACATGGATACGTATAGGATGATAATAAGTAAGATTATATATATACAGTGCCGTTTCGATGAATCATGTAGGTGAGGGGACCGAGCACAGGTCACAAAAATCTCTTTCAATAAGTTAAAGCCACCCCACCTCGTAGTAACGCCAGTGAGTACACCAACTGAACATTTTGCAAATTTTATTGACTTGCCCAAAAAGTCTTGATTACTTTTCCTTTAAACTTTCCTGTAATACATCCCCAGTCCTGAACTATTATCAACTTTGTCGTTATTTCCGGTTATGACATAGCAAGTGTTCCCATAGTGATAAGTAAATTTGCACATGCATCGGTCTAAACATAGCAGCAGACACCTGATTACACTTTTGACGTCATAAACTTTGGTACCATTAGGTTCTTTACGATTTGTCTGATAAACTTTCATTCTGGCTTCCCGGTATCGTAATGATAATTCTGAAAAAATGGAGTTTTATGTCATACATGCTTTGCCGAATTTCTTACCTAGTTATGACATTTTTGCCCGTAAAACTCTCTTTCGGGGCTGCGAGGCTCCGCCACTGATGCATATGATTAGGTTTCAGTGTTACATCTAATTAATCGTAAGCTTACCCATTTTTTGACAAAGAGCGTGATTTCTATCTGTACACAGGGTGCTTCGCCACTGTACTGAATGGTAGTACAAGATTCGAACACACCTCTGCGAGTAAAGAAAATTGGGTTCACCCTCAAACCATTCAGGGGAATATTGAGAAGTTTTATTCAACCAAACCCCACCCCTTTTCCATCCCCATTCTAGTCTAACAGGGTGGTATTCGTAAGCTAACCAAACTTCTGACGCCAAACTGAAAAGAGAAAGAAGCACTATAACCTACATTTTCGCCTCCCCCAGCCCACTTTGGCAAATTGTCTGTATTCCTTTACCCACTCGAAGAAAGAAGGAATGTCTGTCGTCGTTTCCGGTTACGTATTTTCAAAGTGACATTGCACGTTCATCGACCTAAATTTAGTCCTACTGATATATTTACAGAAGACCCAATGGAGGCTTACCTTTCCTTACTGAGAATATCATAGACAAGGTCTCTCTGCTCAAGGGTAATGACCACAGCCAAACCGTCATACCCCAACTCTTGACACCGACTATTAGCCTCGTTATAGGTGTATCTCTCATTTAGAAAATAATACCGGTTCCCACAAATAGCCTTTTCTGAAATATCAAATAGTAACCTCAAATTCACATGTGGTGCATATAAATAAACCAAGTACTAACGATTCGAACCCCAAAACAAAACTAACGATTCGAACCCCAAAACAAAACCCGAAGTCCAAAACAACATTTTGGCAAAACATTGGTAGCAGCTAATGAACTTTTCTTTATTTCTAAGACTTTCTAGCTGGAGTTCAAGAGATTTAGAGGGGTGAATTTTTGAGTTGGCTTATTATCCAATTCACCAACGAGACAACTGACCAAACATCAGTCAACAAAAATAGTCAACACATAACCCAAAATACATGGTATTGAGTATTGTGGGTCTATTTTTACCATTGGCGATATGATTTTAAATACTTTTGTAAACAGTATTGTCCATTCACATACTTTAGTACAGCTAAACTTGGAACGGTCCCAAGCCCGTAACCAATTCCATTGCTGTAACTAAACACCTCTCATCATTGCTCTTCCGTATATATTATATTACTTCCATGTGAACAATCAAGTTAGCCTGTTCTGTTTCAGATATAATTTCCATCATCAGGCAGTAAGTTTGAGGATGAAATTGTTTTACTTACCTTCCGATAGCAGATTGTCTGGATCTTGGCTTACTATTTCAGTGACTAAACACAGTAGAATTATATAATAGACTTCCATGTCTTGATACATAGAAACCAAATGAAATACGGTTCCGCAAGTTAATAAATTGGAATTTCGTATACTAATATTTTTATTTGATGATTGGTCTATTTTGATCTTTAAATAAACAGAACTCGTGCATTTTACAATATTGAAATCAATGAATCAATTTGGGAGACCTAGAAGGTATTTATAAAGACCGTAAAGCTCTTGGCAATGTAAGTTAACAAGTTCTTTTGGAATTTTTTCATTTTCATGCCTCAGATGAAAAATCAATGATGCAAACTTACCGATGCTAAACACCATTTCATTGCTAAAAATATACATATATCCACATTTGGGGTGGGGGGGGGGGGGGTGCTGGGCCAAGAATTTTGTTTGAGTGGAGACTCGAAACTTAACGAATAGTTCCGAATGTTTTGATGAATGATGACTTGATATTTATCGTACAATTCCGAATGTCACAGAAGAAGATTCGAAATTTAGCGAACAGTTTCGATTGTTTTGATGAATGTAGACTCGAAAGTCAACGAAATGTTTCGACTGTTTTGATAAATGTAGACTCGAAATCCAACGAACAGTGTTTTGATAAATGATGCATGGGTTCAAAATTTAGCGTACAATTCTGAATGTTTAAAATAAATGAAGACTCGAAATGTAAAGAACAGTTTCGAATGTGTTTGAATAAATGAGGACTCGAAATAATAATATAACTCAATGATGATTCTGAACAATACATATTTCTTTGTTTCATATTGACTTCCCGTCGTGATGTGGCTATTGAAGGACAATATTTTTCAAGTCAATCTGGTCTATTTTTTATATTTTTTTTTACTGAAAAATAGATAAGCTAGTTTTTGTAATAAAGAGTCGATGTAAATTTGGTATTATTAAGTGTGTTTTTTATTTCGTTGTTATTGGTGGAAGTGAAAGGTTCTTAAGTTTGACATTGAGCTTGAAAAGGTATGTGTCTTTTATCGAAACGATAGTTCAAGCACAGTCGGTTTGAGTGTTGCAATCTGTACTCACATAGTTAATCACATGGCCGACATCAAGTTTGTGAAATTCGACATGACGTGTCTATAATCTGAGGTACGATCTCTGGAAACTTTCTCCTTTCATTCTTATTAATTGTAAATACATCCTATCAATTAAAAACTAATTGTCGGCGTTTTTCTAACACTAGATCAGTCGCCAAAACGTACTTACGCCTGCTTGTAGTTGACGTAGGATTTAGGCGACATATTTACTTAAGTAAAAATTTACGTCTTTTAGTGAAACGCAAATTTTACCTACATATATACTTTCGTAAATATTTATACTTACGTACCTTAGTGAAACGGGGGCCAGGTATCATCTGGTAACGTTAATAATCAAACGGCCATATAACATTCAGAAATGATAAGTAATACAGTGAATATCAAGCTCTGTCATCTGGTAACGTTAATAATTAGAAGGCCATATCACATTTAGAAATGATAGAGTATTCGTGCGACTACTATCAAAACCAGGTGGGAAAAGTACTTTAGTTGACACAGTTTTTAAAGGTATACGACCTCTTAGAATGAACATGGAATTTAAATTCTTAAAGATAGCCAACACGTATATATATTCATCAGTTGGACTTACCATATGTCATGACTACAGAATAGAATCTCTATATAACACGATATATCTATTAAACTAAATTATTATGGAAAAACACTTCTAAATGTATTTTGAAATTACTTAGATTAATGGATTTAAACTTGGTTTATGGATTTATAGGATTATAGAGGGATTCTGTTGTATAGTTATGACACCAGATAAGTCCACTGATGAACGGAGACTCATTTTAACCAAGTTTGAAAATTTCATGTTGTTGGACATCCTAAGTGGTAGCATACCTTTAAACTGGTGTCCAATCCGAACAATTGTCTCGCCACATCTGGAACAGTTTACATAAAGCTGGAATTTATAACACTAACATGTCCCATTCACTATTTCAATATCGGCCCAGTTGCCATTATCTAAAGTGGTATATAGGTCTTATATAACCCTGGTATATCAACTATTGCCCTGCGTATATAGATAATATATAAGTGATACAGAGTTCAAATTGATATTCGCCGTTTGATAATGCGAGTACAGTTGCTGCATTTTGTAAGACTTGTTGGTTTAAAGGTAGGAATGAATATTTTTCTTAGTATTTTTCAGTTGATGTTTTTGGTTTATTTATTTGGGTGGTGATTGTTACTTATATTTGTGTAATTTGCAACGTCATATACCAATCAGTATGTAACATGAAGTATAGTATTATAGTAGTAAGCTGTTGTCAATATTAGTTAGCTTAGGTGTATTAATCAGGTTGCAGAACTGTTTGACAATACCATGACAGTAGGTTACTTCATATGCCAGTATCGTTAAAGATACTTCTACGTGTACACTTAAGATGGAATTAAGAAATGGATCTGGGGCTAGGGAAAACCCGTAGCACGAAAATATTTTTGACATCTTCGTCATCCAAAATCCCATAAATATTGAACCTAATTATAACGTAAACCATGCGTGTGTAAAGTGTTTTTATTTTGAATATATAATAAGTAAAATCTCGTACACATACACTGGAGGTCAATAATTAGATCTAACTAGTGAAGGAGAAAGTGTTCACGTTGACCTGGGATTAAACAGATTTTGTATCAAGGTCTTTCAAATGAAGACAATTCTAGGCCTATACCTTACCATAGTATCGAGTCCAAACCGCAAGCAGAGTGCGCACAATGATAGTTTGTCTGCGGTTACGCCATAAACGTTTAATGAATATTGTATTTAATTGCGTAATTTGGAAGGTATTTGTTATATGAGCATGGTGTATTAAAAGTCCGGTTTTTAAGTGTTATGTATCATCTTAATTTCTTATATACTGGTTTACTGATATTATATAGCTACACTTTTAAGACTGTTATCCCCTACATGTATCGTGCAGGTGTACATGTGCGTTCTTGAAACTGTCCAACAAGTAGTAAGTCCTGTTCGATGTATTCTGTGTCCTATGTGTTGGATATAATGAACGTGTTTTTATATCATGTGCTACACAACTTACTCAACTCAAGTACACCTATATTACTCTTAATTTACATCTTGATCGTGTGGCCGTTGGTGCAGGTTTGACTGTATCTTATTCCATATAGGGTGCAGAAAAGGGGGACGTAAAACTCCATTCGATTTACACCTTTGATTAACTTTGTTATTTTATATTTCCAGGGTTCTCCAAGGGTCTGAAAGGACAACCTCCGAGGAACACAACCAATAGCCGACAAGCCTTGTGGAAAACGGAAAGGAAACGTTGACGAATAAAGATGACTTACATACTGTAACACAAAAGACTAGATTGGCTTTCATCTTTTTTAGGAAAAGGGAAATTAACGAAAACAAAGCCTTGACAAGTTTTAAATGAATTAACATTTAAATGTATAAATTTTGAATTCGTGGTATAAATCTGTGTTGTTTTATTCTTGAACTATAACCAGGGGTTATTTTATTTCTAAAACAAAACAAATGTCATTTTACAAAAAGGAAGTCTGCATTACTCAACTTTTTCCGAAGTAAAAGTTAAAGTTGCTTCCGCTACGTCGTTGTCGTAGACGTTATAACGCATGATTGTGTACTTCAGATAAATGCTGTTGCATTGCATCAAGTGTTTTACGATTTCGTCTACTTTCAGAAAATTAATCATCCGACCGTTATTGATGTTGAATAGTTGAAGATTCATTAACGTTTATGGTGCGTTTTTGTAAGCGACCTGTTGCCATTACGTTTAACGATCTGTTGTGTTTAACGCAATCTTTCAAGATTGTTCTTTTATTAACCGCTTGTTGTTGTGTTGCGTCTAACTCTGATCATTAGCGTTTGGTTTTAAGAGCTTGTTGCCTTTGCGATTTAATATCCGACATTGTTTTGCGTCCAGATTTCAAAAGCATCATTAACGTTCATCAACTTTTTCATTACTTTTAAAGTGTAACGTTTTACGACTTTGATAACTGAAAACCAACTGACATTACTACCAAGGTGTTACCATTGCGATTTACTATCCGACATTGCGTTCTGCTTTAACGAACTGCCCTCATTGCTAACGTTTACACACTACCAACGTAGTACCCTTTACGACCCAACATTGTGTTACGTCAATTTTTGTACTAAATGAACAGTTTGTACGTTGATTTCATTCATGAGAGATTTTGAACTGATTTCAGAATAATTCTATCATTTAGCTGTAATTAGTCGGGATTATGATGAGATTTTAATGATTATTAGGACAGCCTAGTGTTACAGATGTTAGTTGTCGCCTACGTCGGCTGATGGACTGATCTCGACAATTGCTGATTTCGCTATTTGACTCAGTGAATTTTTTCCACTTTTGGAAACTGTGTTTGTACTTTTGGACTGATCTTGAAAAGTGCTGCTCTGGGACTCTTTTTCCACACTTGCAGTGACTGTTGTTGATTAGTGGATTGGATACAAGCGTTAAACGTGAAAGCGAAAGTGAAAGTAAAAGATCAAATAAACTAAACTCCGGAACATGTATGTGTCTTTAAGTGTATTTCTTATTAACATAATCTAAGAATCGGACACCACTGCTTACCGGGATATTCCTTTTCCATATTTGGACTTAAAAATAATACAGTATAGTAGTTTTACAACAAGGAAATAGTAGTGAAACTGATACAAAAAATCCTGTGGACTGTTAAATTTTTCGAAAAAAAATAATTCTTTATACTAAAGACTAAAATAACGTTTTAAATCTGTACACAGCTCATTGTAAAGAAATTGTTTAGCCTACTTTAGTGAACTGAACTAGTTTGTTTATTATCATAATCGCTGGACGAAAACGTTGGTCGTAGTATACGAGATCAAGTGTTGCGTTTATCGGTGCGACAAAAACTCAAACAAGCATCTGTTGGTCGCAGGACAACAGGTGTTGTTATTAGCGTTACGACAAAAACTTAAAAGCATACCTGTTGGTCGCAGGATACTAGATACGGTGTTGAGTTTATCGTTACGACAAAAACTTAAAAGCATACCTGTTGGTCGTAGGATACTAGATACGGTGTTGAGTTTATCGTTACGAAAAAAACTTAAAAGCATACCTGTTGGTCGTAGGATACTAGATACGGTGTTGAGTTTATCGTTACGACAAAAACTTAAAAGCATACCTGTTGGTCGTAGGATACTAGATACGGTGTTGAGTTTATCGTTACGACAAAAATTTAAAAGCATACCTGTTGGTCGTAGGATACTAGATACGGTGTTGAGTTTATCGTTACGACAAAAATTTAAAAGCATACCTGTTGGTCGTAGGATACTAGATACGGTGTTGAGTTTATCGTTACGACAAAAACTTAAAAGCATACCTGTTGGTCGTTAGATACTAGATACGGTGTTGAGTTTATCGTTACGAAAAAAACTTAAAAGCATACCTGTTGGTCGTAGGATACTAGATACGGTGTTGAGTTTATCGTTACGACAAAAACTTAAAAGCATACCTGTTGGTCGTAGGATACTAGATGCGGTGTTGAGTTTATCGTTACGACAAAAACTTAAAAGCATACCTGTTGGTCGTAGGATACTAGATGCGGTGTTGAGTTTATCGTTACGACAAAAACTTAAAAGCATACCTGTTGGTCGTAGGATACTAGATACGGTGTTGAGATTATCGTTACGACAAAAACTTAAAAGCATACCTGTTGGTCGTAGGATACTAGATACGGTGTTGAGTTTATCGTTACGACAAAAACTTAAAAACATACCTGTTGGTCGTAGGATACTAGATACGGTGTTGAGTTTATCGTTACGACAAAAACTTAAAAACATACCTGTTGGTCGCAGGATACTAGATACGGTGTTGAGTTTATCGTTACGACAAAAACTTAAAAACATACCTGTTGGTCGCAGGATACGAGTTCCGGTATTTCGTTTGTCTATACGAAAAGCCCAAAATCAAAAAGTGTTGCCATGGTAATAACATTGGAGGATATGGTGTTAGGAGAAGAGAATGAAGAGAAAGTAGAAATGGGTGAATGTAGAGAAAGAGAAGAAGGAATGAAAGAAAAGAAGAAAGAAAGAATTGTGCTGTCGCCAAACAGAACAGTAATAGTCGTGACTAAAACAGAGGGCGTCCAGACTGACCACGTGTTTCTCAAAAGTTTGTTAAAGAATAAAAAGAATCCAGGTAGAATAGACAAGATTAAAGTCATTCGAAGGTGAGTTTGTAATTTTGTCTTGCATGAATAATGATTTAAACAGGGTAGAGCATGCCCTCTCTTTCTGGAACAACTAGTATCATTATGCAATGGTTTTACCTGTTTGTTCTTGTAAACTATATAACGAATTCTGGAACACGGAATATGCTACAACTCTACAACAGAATGTTTAACTTTTCGCAATTCGTTCTTGTATGATATATACAGAGTAGGGCATGATTCCAATATCTGGAACCTTAAAGCCTACGACTCTACAATGTACTTCAAAATTATATAAAACAACTTAAATGTGTATAAACAGCATTAACGTTAACTTTGTTTTATTTTCAAAACGAGCCATTATAACAGTAGACCATTGTCATAATAAAAACTTTTCTATAGACTAAAACTCTTTAGTTTGTATCTTACATGACCTCTGATAAACTTATATAAAAAAAGATACGTAAAAAATCACAGTTGAAAAAGTAAAAATGTTGTAAAATCAAAGTGACCACATCATGGTCATAAAACCATTTAAAAAAAGCTTAAAAACGACGGACAATGAACAAATCCTTTTGATGTTAAATGTTTAATACTGAAAGTTAAATGACCTATTACTGATCCGCAGCAGGTTTCAACGTTTGAACTTTCATTGTTCTTATAACGTATATACTACATGTAGATACAAAATAATCCTTCATCTTGTAGTATTAACTATATAATATACATACATAGGATGTATTGACCACGCTGTTAAAGGTCCGTACCACTTAATACTATCATGATTCAGCACCTCTTTAATATATATGCAATATGATCAACAAAACAACAGTTTGGACAAGGGATGTTAAAGGTGTTGTTCCACTGTGAAAGGATATTTCCCGTAGTTAATCTTATTTCTCGAGAGTTTAGTTGAAATAACATGAAGAGAGCATATTACATGTATAAAAGGCGTCGCAGTATATCTACTTCTTTCGATCTAATTGAATATTCTAAAAATCGAACGCGCCCCTGATTGAGAATATCTGAAACACAGAAGTTTGATATCGATGTTTGATTACATTGATATTATCACTTTTGATATCAGGCTGTAATAAATCTGTTACAGATAGAAATACAGATAACAGGTGATAAAAACTCTTCCCACGGTTGCCCACACGTGTACCACTGAAACTCTGTCCCATAAGAAGTAAATTTTGATAGAAAGGCTCAACTAAACTTAATAACAGTGTATAAAACAAGATTTTTCGCTAAGCTGAATATACGGGCAAATGGGAAAGGATATAGACAGGGTGTATGGGGGTGTATGTTATTGGTGTACGGTGGTGGAGAAATTATTAAAAAATAATGTAACATGCATGTAACAAAGTTGGACAATGTACAAAATATGAATAGAATAAAATGACATCAAACGATGATTTGATATCCATCCTGGATTATTCAGGTATTTTCAGTTGACTAATAGTTGTATGGGGAAGTCAAGATGAAATATTCGTGAATACATATTCACATGTTAATTTGAAAATAATATGAAGTTATATTCTTTATGCGAGCGACGTCAAGAATTTTTATTGTATAACTCTTTCATGACTGTTTTGAATAACGTGTATTTTGCAAGGGGGTCATGAAAAAAAGAGATTATTCTTTAGGTTTGTCAATTTCAAATCCCTTTCAGAGAGTCTACATAGCTAATAATGTTTGTTTGAAATTTACGTTTGATGACTTGTTATCCCTTTTATAGATTCTACATTATAGCTAATAATGTTTATCTCGTATCTAGGTTTGTCAACTCGACATCCCTTTCAAAGAGTCCACATGGCTAATAATGTTTATCTCGTATCTAGGTTTGTCAACTCGACATCCCTTTCAAAGAGTCCACATGGCTAATAATGTTTATCTCGTATCTAGGTTTGTCAACTCGACATCCCTTTCAAAGAGTCCACATAGATAATAAGGTTTATCTCGTATCTAGGTTTGTCAACTCGACATCCCTTTCAAAGAGTCCACATGGCTAATAATGTTTATCTCGTATCTAGGTTTGTCAACTCAGCATCCCTTTCAGGGAGTCCACATGGCTAATAAGGTTTATCTCGTATCTAGGTTTGTCAACTCAGCATCCCTTTCAGAGAGTCCACATAAATAATAAGGTTTATCTCGTATCTAGGTTTGTCAACTCAGCATCCCTTTCAGAGAGTCCACATAGATAATGTTTATTGGGTACATAAAGATTAAGATGACGTGGACAATGAGGAAAATCGTCGGTCCGGATATGACCTGGGAAATGAGCTTTTAAACACTAACTATGGATATACTAGAAATGACCTTCAGTTGTCAGTCAATGGCCGCCCATTATTCATCGCCTTTTCATTTAAAATTATTGTCCTAGTTTGTAAATAACGCATTTAAAGTTGACTGGCTTTTCCGTTTAGAAAGGTTATTAGTGCTCAGTTTTATCATTAAGGAAATAATATGATTCACTCTGTTTCGAGTCGAATGAAGATTTCTGGCGTTTATAAATATCGTTAGGTGGAGTGACCGAATGGGGGCCACAGTATTTTCACAGGGCCAATATTTTAATAACTCAAAAGTATGGAATTCAAAACTAGAGGCTGGGGCAGGGGGCGGCATGTAGAAACGCCACTGTTAGATAATTGGTAATGCTAGATTGTCTCCCTTTGGTTACATTTTGCGTTGAACAGATAAAATATAGATAGAGGCTTTTAATTGATGGAAATCTTATTTAAATTAGATTATAATTTCAGTTTTCTTTGTATTGTAATCTAACAAGTTTTCTACCACAGTCGTGTTCTGATGACGTTATTTTAAAAAATCAGAACGTGCCAGCAGGAAACTGTTCCTCAACCCTTAAGAGCTTAATATTATAACTTGAGAGTTTCTACAATAAAAAAACAGTGTCATCATTACTATAGATCTGTGACTCGTGGGTCGTCAATCGGAAAGTCCCTACTTGACAGTTTCCCACACCCTGTCGCCACTGTAGAATGTGAGAGGGTTATAATAAGCTTTGAAGTGGTCATTAAGCACTCTAATATGATCTTATCAATAGTAAAACAAGTTGATACACCTTTTGCCTGATTTCACAATATATAAAGAGAGATAACCAATCTGATTACACAGCGAAAATATATCAGAGATAACACGGGTCTTCTATAATAAGGGTCTGTCTTCTAACGACCCCCTCTCCCCTTAAAAGCGAAAACATACCAGTAGAGATAACAAGGAGTTTTTTAATAAAGGGACCGTCATCTATCGACCCCCCCCCCCCCCCCCCTTTCTTTCTCCCTGACATATATTTGGCTTGTGCTTTAAGTACACGGTTATATCAACAATAAAAACATTTACAGTTTCTTTTGTGTTGAATATGATTTTTGATTTTCGATTGTCCACTTTAGTCTTAGAACAAATTTTTATTGAAAATATCAAAAGCTATAAAATAATGGATCTCGGCGAGTTTGTTCTTGACCAACTGGGATGGCAACTTTAACTGACATATACCAACCGATAACAACTAATATTATATTATATTATATACCAATTACAGTAAAAATAAGTCATTCAACTGTGCTGTTTACAATATTTCTGAATCAAGGTTAACAACGTTGTTCGAATTTCTCCTCGAGTTCATCGGCATATATTGATTGAGATAACTCATTTTCCAACTTGACACCATTTTCTGTTTGTAAACAAAGTCTTATTTCCGATACTTTCAAATTTAGATATCTTTATTTTTGAAATTTCTCACTTCTAATTGATCGATGGCTTTATTAGGAGTAGCCTATTTTTAAATTGTTTGTTTAGAATATTGTTTGTTCTTGTATATATCAGGAACACTTAACGCTTCTATTAGCACCTTTCTCATTTCCTCGCATTTCCTACCAGACATCTGTGGTACCTGTGATTCCAGAAAAACACTTGAACAATTGCTTGAAGATAATTCATACATGGATAAAGTCGTAAAGAAGTCGGATTTTAGTTCTTAAACGTGAAACGTTTGGTGTATATATTATGTTTGAAAGGAATATAGAAATCAATTCGTTGATTAAAAGGGAGGTGTGTTCATATCAATAAGGGAGTAATGATTTCTCGTTGAAAGTTTGTTTGGATATAACTATTCAAAAATTCTTACCTATTGGGTTTATTACTTTCAAACATAGAAATGAAATGAATGGAGTTTTACGTCCTACTTTTCTGCACCAGTTTGGACCAATGAAGGCGGGAAACGCTTAACGACTAATAAATATATATTTCATTATATACCCTGTAAATTGATGTGCACTCACACTGTCGCTTTAATAGTACATGAGCCCGAATATAGATTTTTGTGATGAAAACATTAATAAAGACTTGAAAAGATTAGATGACATGCGACCTTTGAGAGAAACCGATAAGACCGGTATCAATATACAATACATATCAAATAGACCCACTCCTATCTCCTAATGGTGAAGCTTATTGTCTAGATAAACAGTTTAAAATAAGGGAGGAGGTCAGTGGGTCTGTTTGTGTAGTTCTGGAAAACGTTAGTCTGCTATGCTGTGTGTACAACAACATGAATTGGGCACTAGGTAAGGTTTCTCTGTCTTTAATGCACGTGTACAAAAATGCACGTGTAAATTGATATGATGCAATTATTGGATGTATTACTGTGGCCATTTTATCAAAGTGTTCTACATTTTTTATTCGCCATTTCTCTGTTTAATTAACTATCTTGATTATGGGGTTGTGTATTGCTTTTGGTTTTGACGATGAAAGGGGTGCCTTAAACAACGTTGTTTAAATGAGGGCTATCGGTATTGCAAGCCCAGAAGTTAGAATTTTGAATCTCACCTAATCTCCCCACCC